AGGCCGTCGCGCGTCTCGTCGACTGATATTAAGGAAATAGTCGTCGGTGCTGCTATATTGGCAACTGTAGCCTCTGTGCTCAATCATTACGAAACAACAAATTCATCCTCTTTTACTAAAGGGCAAAGTCTTAACTACTGAGCATACGTTCTAAAGCTGAAGTATTCCACACGTGGATGGGTTGAATCCATTTTCCTTTGGCGAATGCAACTACGCCCTATGGAGCGATACAGATAATTCAGCAACACGTGAACCATGCGGAGTCCATAGGATTATTGATTTTAGTCCGATCTTACCAACACGCTCAGACCCAAATTTAAGGAGATAGTCCAGCAAGTTGAGCCCCTTGAATATCCTCCTCCATTTCTCTTTCTTATCACCAATGGCCGACCAAACTGTCGACATGATCAGATAATAGTCGTTGCTGAGGGGAACGTCGTGATAAAATGAATGAAAGTTAATATCATGTCATTTCACTGCCAGTGAAACCAGTTAGCAGGGGCAGTTTTCGGATGATCTTTAACCAGAGTATTGAGACCATCGAATGCCTGAATGCTCTCCCACCGTATTACAAGTCATGAGTGCATCTGGCAATGTCGATCAATACGGAGTTGGCCACACCCCAATTCTCATTGGATGTCGCTTCCCGAAGGTTTTTCTCCAGAGGAGTCTCCGTGTGAGTTCTGCAAACGAGAGCGATACGGTCCTTGGTCAGCCCACTTTGCATTTCTTAGAATTCCCCGATGAAATGGATCCTCCGGTATTACATTTTCTTGGTGTATTTTTTGAGACCAGCGAATGCCGATTGAAATGCACTTGCCATAACCGGTCGAATAACAACTAGTGGAAAGAGGGGCATCAGCGTTGAATCTCAACACAGCTCAGAAAGAGGCGAACGAAAGCTGGATTAAGCGCGGACGATATCAGCAAATAGTTCGCCGCAAACTTTGCATTTCCCGCCAGTGGCAATCTTCATAGCACAACGCTTGCAGGCGAAGATATGACCGCAGGTACTGGGACCTAGAGGAACCGGAGGAATCTTAGGTTGAGGCATGCAAGATACAGAGTAGGTCGGTTTTTGACTTTCAGCTACTACCGAATTCTGCCTCCTGTTTGTGGCAGCACTTGCACACGGTATCAGTCTTCAACCTGTAAGAAACAGTGTATAGGACATGCGCATTGAATGACTGCTCACTGCTGCGCACTGGCTTCTGCTAATTTCTTCTTAGACTCGTCGCTGGCCATTGTCAATACTCCAAAACACAACTACAATTTTCTGCCGCCTTTAAAACCGAAAAGCAATCACGACATTATCAAACTCTCCCTCCTCCATGAGGCTATACATGGCGGGAACCAGAGCTGTTCGATCACTAGTAGGACTTGCACAGGTTGATACAAATCGATTAGTATGGCGTGCGCGTTTTAAATCGCGTTCGAGTGAGTGCTCGCTTCATCGCTACCTGAATTATCGAGATGAAGGTAACTGTGCAGAATAGAAGAGGCAAGGAGCTCGCCGTTATCACGGTATCCGGGGATGCCGCGACGGTGGCTGAGTTGAAGCAGGGAATTGAGAGTGCTATTAAGACGTCCGAGGCGCGGCAGAGGTTGGTCACGGGTGCTTAGAAAAATGTACCATATCGTCTGTTCGAAGCCAGCCCGTCATCGCTCAGGCTAACCCTGCCATTGTCCGCCGATTCAGCTAAGAAGGGGTCGAAGCCTGTTGCTCTTACTGATGACAGTGCAACTCTCTCTAGTTATGGCCTTGCTGACGGTGACGTGATCGTATTCAAGGACCTAGGCCCACAGGTAAGCTTCTATCGATCGATAGCGAGATTCCAGTCGTTGCTTTTTATCAGATCTCATGGAGACTGGTGTTCTTTATTGAGTACTTCGGTCCAATGGTCATTTTCCCCATTCTCTACTACGGACAGAAACACGTCTACGGCGCGGTTTCTCCAGGAGGTCATCCTAGCTTCCAGGAAGCGCTCAGACACTTCGTGGCTGCCCCTACTGTTAGCGTGCGCGAAGCTCAACTGGTTGCTAGTGTGTGTTGGTTCCTGCACTTCCTCAAGCGAGAATACGAAACTCTTTTTGTGCACCGCTTTTCGAACGGCACCATGCCGATCCGAAACCTCTTTAAGAACTGCGCATACTACTGGGGCTTCGCTCTTTTGGTCGGCTACTTCGTTTGTCATCCGCTGTACACACCCGCAGCTCAGCAGTGGCAGCGCATTCTCGGCTTAGCCATTTTCGCCGTATGCGAGATCAGCAACTACCGATGCCATGCGATTCTGAGAGACCTTCGTCCGAAGGGCTCTCGGGTCCGCAAGGTTCCCCACGGCTTCGCTTTCGAGTTGGTCAGTTGCCCCAACTATATGTTCGAGATCCTTTCATGGTTCGGGTTCAATATGATGACTCAAACTGTGATGGGTATTGCCTACATGCTTGCCGGAGCCGGGCAGATGTGGGTGTGGGCCCTCAAGAAGCATCGTAACTATCGTCGCGAGTTCGACGGTAAGGATGGCCGGGAGTTGTACCCGAAGAACCGCAAGATTCTCATTCCGTATCTGCTCTAAGATAGCCATCGGGTTTACGGTACTGGCTTGTTATTGAAGAGCTGGCCGCAAGAGACACACTGCGTACACCAAGTTTCAAAGCATTGTATCGGTTCGAATTGTGTTAGTCAGCATCATATTCATCCCTCTTGTCGCGCCGTGGCGAAATGAGGTGTGCTTTGTTGTTTCCGGGCGCTCCTAGTTCGTAGCACGATCAAGCATGTGTTGTTCAGGAAATCAAAAGGGCGAGTATCATCCGGGCCGCTTTAAGCTTCTAGCATCGCGCTTGACTCGACGAGAAACCTTAATTAGGAACTTACTCTACTGTTCATGCGCTTTGACATGCGTTTGACAAGTCACTTCGCATTTGAAGAATTGTCGACCTTGCCTCTTTTTGACGAGAATATCCACGTTCGTATCCAAGATCGCGACCTTATGTACGTTAGCGTTCAGCTAGATGGTTGCATTCAACTCTCTTTTTACGATAGCGGGTCGCATGGCTCTAATTCTCTGTCACGGTCAAACCATCACGTCTGAACGATGGGAACGGGTCATCTATATGCTGTCGTTCTCGGGGCGTCTTCCAGCCTCGTGAAACCTGGCTTCTCTGCTCATTCTAGTTGAGCCAGTGGCAGGGAACTCTCGGGTTTATTAGTCATTTGTTTGCGTATAACCATGGCATTTGGACTACCTGGACTAAGCCGTTGGATTCTGCCTCTACTATTGGTACTCTTGTTTGTGATATTGGCAGCTCGCCTAACTCACAATCTGCCCAAGTATCGACAAGGACTGTCCGGGAGCACTCGTGATAGGCCTAGCTACGGTGGTCGCCTTGATGGTGTGTGCTCCGTGGACGGCGACTATAAGTATCAGAACAGTCGTTTCGGTGTGTTCATGCGCGACATCGTTGACAAAGCTCATGCTAGCGCTTCTTATCTATACCAGGGCGGGTTCAAGTTCGTCACTGATGGGTGCAACAGGGACTTGGTCAAGACCTCGTATGGTTTCAAGTACGAGGCGTCTGCACCAGGTGGATCATGCCTCTGGGGAAACACGCCTTCTCTCAAACTGCTACCAGTCGCTGCCATAGCCGAAGCCTTGAATGTTACCACAATCATCGAATCGGGGCGACGTGGAGGCGCTTCTGCTCTGGCTTACCACCAGCTCGGCTTCCATGTCATTAGCGTTGAGTTTGACCCCATTCAAGAGGTCGAGGATGCCCTGCGCGAGATCGCCCCCGACATCGAGCTGATAAACGGCGATGCGATGGTTGAGGTTCCGCGCATTCTCGATCGTCTTCCTGCGCATGAGGCCGTCGGTGTGGTGATAGATGGTCCGAAGCTTCAGCCTCAGTTGGACTTGTGGACGGCCATAAGATCTAGGGTTCTTTTTGGTGCCTTGGATGATGTCAATTCCACGCCGGGTAAGTATCGACGGCACCAGAAGAACGTCATGAAGACGTACCACCCCTACTGGTCAACAAGCGACGACGCCTACATGAATACACAGGCACCAAAAGACCTTCGGTGGAGTGATGCCCAGGCTCCCAGTCTTGGTATCATGCGCGATTTCGCCCGTGTGATTTTGGGTGTATCATCGAAAGACAACTGTCTCCGTCGGAGTGAATGCAGTACCGAGCTTGGCATGGCGTTTTTGTTGGGTGGCATGGTGTGTGAATTACCCTGGTCGATTTTGTTCCGCGTTTGCTATCTTAAATTGGCATACAAGGACCTTGTAACAAGGTGTATGTCAATGTGATGTCCAGAAGAACCGAATTAATGCTAGTGGTGTCCAAAACAACTCTTGCTGAAGTTTGAAATTTGAAGGATGCGTCTCGCTCCGCGACGAGTCTTCTACTAGTGGCAGTTCAGATCTAGTAAAATTAAAATCACTTCAATCACTTCCTTTGTGTCGAATAGTAGTCTGTAAATGCACCCTTCTCCTCGCCAGTTCGCAAGTGTGAGTCTATAACTGTCGGTTCCTCCAACGTTGGCCTCACCGTTAGATTCAGCGCCCCTCAAAGGCCTACTCTTCAGCATTTCAGGACCGATACATACGCATTCTGACGGCTACCTTCAAGTGATGTCCTTTTCCGCATCAGGATGCGCACGGCCTGCGTCCGAGGCTCGGACTTCGCGCCCAAGTGGTGCCAGCTGGCCTACAGCACCGCCGGAACGGTGGAGCTATACTCAAGCTGAGAATCTCGACAATTTGTGAGGAATGACGCTGACGATCTGATGCGCTGACATCTCGTTGGTACGAAGGGGGACTCGTGCTATACTAGCTGCGAGTCCTTCTCAGTATTTCCGGATGAGTTTGGTGAAAGTGAGCTTTCATTGGCCGAAATCGGTCTTGTGTTCGACGAATTTGAACTTGCGTTTCCGAATCCATAAATTTCATTTACGAATTTGAACATTATTTTCGGCCGGTCTACGTTAATCGAACTTTCCTTCGAATTTGAACTCTTATTTCGTGAAAAACTCCTTTCACTTGTCGAAAATCAAATTTCTTTCGTCAAATTTGTTCTTTTAATTCTGAATCGAGATTGATGAGGTCAGTGCAAATGATGACGAAACCATAACCAGAGAATATGTGAAACACGTGGGAGTACGCAAGGCCTCGTCTTTGAAAGAGATGACTGTCCGACGTTTGAGCAGTATCATCCCAAGAGGATGAAATACTGTCATCATCACCATAGTCAACTTCTTCGTTACCGTACATACCAACACGACTCTGTTGATAATCTCAAAAAAATTGCCAAAAAAGTGGCGGGCGAATTAAAAAAGTGGCGCGTGAAAAAGTAGAAGGGGGTCACCCGGGTTCGAACCACACTAACGTCATTTGTGTTGTTGCTCATAACGGGAGCGATAAAAGTCACACTTAGAGCATGAGAGCTATTTTTTCTTTGGGACTCATAGTATGAACTTCCTACAACTCGACTCAGAGCTATTGTTCTCGATCCCTCCCCTTACGAAGGAGGACACTTTTGAGATGATCGTCCAACGTCGATTTTTATTCAATTTGCAATCAATTAATGTGGCTCGTCTTTATATTCGCTGTAGAGTACGTTTCGATGAGCTTTCGGTTCAAGGCCTCTCAAAGCTCTGAGCCAGAGCCCTTCTGAGTTCTGGCGAACTATCTCCTTCTGCGGAATTGTGTGGATTTTATTAGGTTTCAATTCCCTGAGTCCCATGACGGAATCGACTAGAGAAGATGTCTCTGCCACTACTTCGTCGGCCTCGGATGAGAGCAAGCCCGAGCGCGCTTGGCAGCCGCCTTCGTCCTCGTTCGACCCCTGGCGCGGTACTCGGATCTCCCGTCGCCGGCATGGACAGTCCATGCGGCATCTCCCAGCGCCGCCGAAGAACAGAGCGGGTGCGGACCTACCTGCTTACTCTGTTAAAGAGAAGTTGATCGAGGCTTTGAATGCTCGTAATGTCGTCCTGGTCACCGGAGCTACCGGCAGTGGTAAGACGACTCAGATCCCTCAGATGATTCTGGACGAAGCCAGATCCAAGGGTCAAGTTGTGAATATCGCTGTGACGCAGCCTAGGCAGGTTGCGGCTATCAGTGTTGCTCAGAGAGTCCGTACCGAGCGCAAGTGGGATAGCACTGGACCTGTTGGTTACAGTGTAAGGAACAACACGAGCCTACCGAGTAGTGTGGACAGCGGTTCGATATTGTACTGTACTGAGGGCACTCTGTTGGCGCGAATGTCCGAGAACCCACTGCTCTCTGGCGTGTCCCATCTCATTCTCGATGAGGTTCATGAACGGACAAAGGAGATGGACGTTTTATTGACATTGGTGAAGACATCGCTGCTGAAGGATACAGGCATAAAAGTTATTCTGATGTCTGCCACTGCCAATGTTCGCCAGTTTATGAGCTATTTTGGTCACAAACTCATTCAGAAAGAGGTCAATTTGGTGGCGATTCCGGACACCAATTACGAGGTCAAAGACTACTATCTCGAGGACGTTTTTCAGATCCTTGACTGGGCACCAGATGACAAGGATGCTGATGATTTTGTTGATATCGGCGACAGTATGAGGTCGGAGAGAATGCCTTGCGAAGAGAAAATACCGGAGGCAAAGCTGGATCGTAATGCCGAAGATTTTTGGTCGAAGGCTGCTGCGGAGGAGTTCGATCTCACCGTACTGCCCACGCAGGTGATTGAGCAACTCTTGCTCTACATAGAGGCTCAAGAGAGTTACAATCCGAGCGAGGGTGGCGCTGTGTTGATCTTCCTTCCCGGTTTGGGAAGCATCAATAAGCTTATCCACTATGTGACTGAAGTGTCGTCAGAGCAGGCTCTCTTCAAGAGACGGTTCAACTTCATCCCTTTGCACTCCAAGACCGCTGAGCAGTACACCAACGATGTCTTCAAGGTCAATACCGATCGACGTAAGATCAAATGTGTCATCGGCACCAACATCGCGGAGACTTCTCTCACGGTCCCGGATCTCACCTACGTCATAGACTGCTGCAAGCAGAAGGTCAAGACCACTCCGACTCGTTTGGAAGTGTGTTGGACTGGGCGCTCTAACTGCATTCAACGGCGTGGCCGTGCGGGGAGAACCCATGAGGGTATCTGCTTTCACCTCATCCCGAAGATCCGGTTCAAATTCGGTTTGGCTATGAACCCAGATCCTGAGATGACCCGCATGCCGATGATTGACATTGCTCTCAATCTGCTCACTTTGGGTCGAGGTGATGCTCTCAAGTGGTTGCCAGGCTTTTGCAAGGCCATGCCTGATCCGCCCAAGCAGGAAGCCGTCCGTCTGGCTGTCTCGCAGCTACTCGCGGTGGGTGCTGTCGATAAGAAGTCTGGTCTATTGACGGAGCTCGGTCGAACCTTGTCACGGTTCCCTGTTGGCGTCTACACTGCCCTAGGTCTGATTGCCAGCTCCATACTGTTCGACTCTGCTGAAGGCATCTACATCAGCGTCTCTTTATGTGCTCTTCTGGAGATGGAAGACATTGAGGCGAACACTCAGCGGCCTGGGGACATCGACAACCCAAAGAAAGTCGATCCCGCGTCACTTCATCGTATGGGATGCCGAGAACTGTGGCCCGCTGAAGGCCAAATCACCACACCGTTGCCTGATCAGCTTGATCTATTGCGGTTCTATCTCGAGTGGGAGCAGGTATGGTTCGATCGGGGGGTTAGGAGCGCGAAGGAGTACTGCAAGCGACGAGATCTCAAGCACTCTAGCTTCGAGAGGGTGTGGCAGGATCGTAACGCAATGCTCGATATTCTTTGCGATCGAGGTTTAGCAGCGACTGAGCCGGCTGCCGACTTCGTACCGGGCGGCCGATCTCCTTTCTCGGCGATTGGTGAGCATATGTACACGCTTGAATGTGTGTTGGCGGTCTTATGTGGGCCCAACTATGGTCAAGTGAGTATGAAGCGGAAAGTGGCTATCGATGTCGACCACAAGACGCTCAATTGCGGAAGCTGGTCCTCGATCGGTACGGCAAATGCTCGAGTTGTGCCGGGGCAAATGGTTCTGTATACGCATCGACTCGATGTTTGGCCTCCGAATCAGCCGGCTCCTAGGTGCATCGCTAAGCTCATCTGCCCGATCAACACTGTCACTTTCATCCTCGGTACTTCTGTTGAACTCACGTACAAACGCCGAGAAGGAAGTATGATATTTGTTGACATCTTCGTCGACAGTCGCAAGGCATTTGGTGGTAATCTCCGCACTCAGGAGCTCCTAAGACTACGTAAACATTTCCAGCAAGCCATGGGCGGACTCGCCAAGGACTTGGCTGATGGTGGTGACGTATTGGATCCTACCAAGGAGCTCATCCGCAGGACTCGGTCGAGGATGACTCGAGCCATCAAGGGCGAGCAGCTGCTGGATTATGAGGCTGAGCTGGAGATTGTTGGCTTCCCCAAGGATGCAGCTTCGCATGCTGGGCTTATATACGGCAACCACAATGCTCCTCTCCGTGGTCCGAACAACAATCGACAGAAGCCGAAGAATGATGATGGTCATCAGAGGAAGTCAGCGCTGCCGCCAGGGCACACGGCCAAGAATAACCATCGAGGCGGGAATGCGAAGCATAGGCCTCGGGGATGATTCCTTGTACCGCCTACTGTACTATCATACCACTGTTATATCTGGTAGCATCATCACTGTCTCCTCGTTTTCATTTCGGTCTCATTCAAGAACGTGTTGAGTTTATATCAATGAATAGCAAGTATCGATCGTAAACCAACATCATTGGACACTATTCCCTCGAATGGAATTGACTACTAAGCACATGTTTCCAATTTGCCGACACTAATTAACGCATGACCATAATATGAATGGGAAACTTGACGTATTGGTAAAGCTCATACTGAGGCAGTTTGCGTGCGGTCTTCATCGCTTATGGTGCTTGCTAGGGCCTGCGAATTGGTACGATGGATGGTGAGAAGCTAATCTACTCGATAAAGTAATCACCTTCAGGAGATTTTTGTTTCCGCTTTCTGCCCTCCTGAGTAGACTTTGGCTCCTCTACCTCGTCCTCATCAAAGTCACCGAAGTCTCCCTCACTCGAGCCGTCACTTTCATCGAGCTCATCCAGCCCGTCTTCCTCATCATCTTCTCCATCGTCTACAACCTCCCCATCTGACGAGCCGCTACCCTCCTCGCCATCATCAGATTGGTCGTCTGAATACAAACGAACTCTGCAATGTAAATTTGTGTAAAAAAGGGGATAATGTGAATGAAAAAATAGGGAATAGGAATAATTGATCGTCATCAGGGACGACGATAAGAAATATAAGACTCAGAATTCCTGCACAACGATCCTTCCGTCGGGGAACAGAAAGCAACTGCTTACCATCATCGGTTGCAACATCAGCAGATTGGAGTGGTAGGATGGCCGTGAGCTTCTGCTTGAGGTAAACCTTGCACACTTGCCGCTTGCCGCGGTACACATAGGCGAACCGCCCAAGACCACAAACGAATATGAGATCTCCCAAAGTAACAATGCCGCGGATTGAACCCATGACTCCTGATAATCCCCGGACAAACGGCAGCATCGACTTGGCATACTTCAGATGGGCCATCCTGCCAGCTGAGGAGAGAACAATCCAAGGACGACAAATACAAGTGAATGGACAGAAACCATACCATAGTCGAGCGACGAATATTCTATTACAAATCACAAGACTGATGGGGAATCTCCGAGTAGAAGCGCTAAAGAAGTCCTTCCACGAGATGAAGACCGTAACGCTATAGATGCAAGGCCGAGGCATTTCCTACGAACCCACCTTTCCCGGCTCCCTCGGGCGTCTCTATCTCGTCGCGAGACACCAACTCCAGAATCTTTCTCGTGCTCAGAGCCATCAGCGTGCCGACAGTGTCACCGACATAGAGCAGCTCGGTCGACGGATCATGGTGCATACGAGTAACCGGTCGGCCCCTACATAGACGATGATAGCAGTGTAGTGCACCAACGGCTCCTCACTTGGTAATCGATTGCCCCGTAGCATGACTAGACATCTCCGTAACAAAGGTCAACGGCAGCTCAAGCAGTGGACGCCGACGGGCCCTGGAGGAAGTCAGATGCGGCAGCCTTCAACCCGACCGCGACATCACCGTGCAGAGATGAAATTCCGAAATATCACGTCTTCGATCAATGAAAGCGGCCTCAAAGATTTCCGATAAGATGATTACCCTTCTCCCTCCTTCACTGCATAGACTCTGATTTTCCCTTGGGTATCCGCCATAACCACACACTCTGGACTCAGCCATTCGATTGCCGTGACGTCGAATTCGACCTATACAACACGACTGCCTCATTAATAAGTCCGTCCTTGTTCCGTGAACGAGAAGAGCCATTTGAGGCCTCCGATTCATATATACAGTAGAGCTAATGACCGCGCGGGCGACCAGTGCTGTGACCAGAATATGACCTTCAGATCGTATTTTGAATCCTGGACGTTTCTTCCTCGCCACAGCGTCTTGCCCTCTCGATCCATCAACCTTGGATTCGCGCCCTCCGAGGAAACCATCATCACATGCTTGTGGTCACTACCAGGACGTACAGCGCAGACCTGAGTACATACAATCTGCACTCAGAAACATAGGCACACGAGATACGCACCTTGACAGCTGAGCTCAGGGAACTCCTTGATGACTGAGCGGACTCTTCTTCCCTGCCATCATCCGCTACAGTGAGCCACGTACCGTCACCGCTAATGAACTGAGGAGGATACGTTGATAGGCATGCGTCCGCGGAAGTCGCGAAAGGTGTCCGCGCCCCACCCATCCCCTTCCACAGCCCGAACGTCAGTACCGATAATTTGCCGTCCTCCCAGTAGGCCGTCTTGACGTCATCACTGGTCTGCCACGTCTTGAGCACTGTCCATGCATCCCCAATGGTATTATCGACAAGCTCGATTCGACCGCATGATCGAACCACTGCGAATCGAGTCTCCTCTCCCGCGGCACATGCCTAAGAGCAATTAGCCTCGACTACCATGAGCCTGTTTTTGAGGGGCCTCCGTTAAAGTTGATCCTGCTAATGCCGACGCACTTATCGAATGACCCATCACAAATGCAGAGGAAAATAAGAACTTTCAGGCGCACCCCATACTACCCATGCGAGGTGTGTGACGGCCTCGCCTAGGGCTTGTGAGCCCATCTTCCGGCCGAGCTTCTGCTCAGCTCCGAGAACTTCCTTCACGAGGCCTGTGTCATCTCCAACCACGAAACGCATTGTGGGAATAAGGCAAAGCTGAGAGAGGCTCGGTATTTTGCATAGAGCGTTGCGGGGAATTTTTTAATGAAAAAGCTGTCGGCGGGTGGAATTGAACCCGGGATCTCCGAATGGTTAACGCTCCGCGATAACTCGCTCACGTCGCGTCTCACAGCATTTCATGGAGGAAGTCGCGAAGAAGAGTCTCCTATACAATGAGGCCGCTGAGTCGCCATTCGTTGTCAGGGTCTCTTCCCAAGATGGCCTCTCCGAAGTCCTCTTCTCGGGCATCACATAAGCCCCATAATCCTCGCGCTCGGCGGGCGGCTTACTACAGAGTTGGCCTTCTATGCATACCTCCAATTCTAGTATCGCTCCTTATTTATGGAAGTAGTGCACTTGTACTGGTGACTGTAGTGGCTGCAGCGGCCTCCGTTTTGTTCGACGTGGTCCGTCACAAGACCAGGTTCGTACCTTTTCCCGTCTATCTCATCGCAGTATGGGCTTTGCAACTCTGTGTCGTTGTTTTTCTATCGCGCCAGGGATGGGCCACTTCGGGGGTAATAGCCAATCCCCTCGCTGGTGTCTCGGCGGGTGACATCAACCCCAAGGCTCTGAGAGGGCCTGACGCCCAGGTGCCCACCGCTGCCGATGAGGAATACGGCATTCTCATCGAGACTACGCTGGACGAAAATGGTCAACACCCTCCTGTCGATCCTTCCCAATACCCAACCACGATCAAGACCATCTCAGTCGTTCTGGCGGCCCATAACGAGCAGAAGTATATAGAGCGCACTTGTGAGTCTATATACGCGGAGACACCGGCTGACATACTCAAGGAAATCATTGTGGTGGACGACGCTTCAGAGCCACCATTGAGGAGGTATTTGAAGAACTTCCCTGAAGTTAAGGTGATTCGACACACTACCCGTCAAGGCTTGATCAGAAGCAAGACGGATGGTGCCAATGCAGCCACTGGTGATATGGTAAGAAAGTCGACGCCCTAGGGTTTGCACCAACCAATGGATTAATGATCAGGTCGTGTTTCTTGACGCTCATGTCAAGCCAGACCCCAACTGGGCACAGCCGCTTATCAAGCATGCCAATGTCAATTACAAGCGAGTTGTGGTGCCGGTCATTCCTGTACTTAACGGCGACGATTGGCTGGTGAGGCGTGATGGCACTTCCCTTTGAGTTCTCTGTCGGTCATCCCTGTAGGTCCATGATAACAGCGCAGGGAGTAAAATGATGTTCGACTGGGGGCTTGGCTTCAACTGGTTTGAAGACGACAATGACTTGGTAGTAACACTTTTCAGACTTGGGACTGTATCGGGCTCCATCAGGTGCCTATTATGTCTGGTGGTTTACTGGGTATCACTAAGCGGTGGTGGTATGAGAGTGGTGAGTATGATAATGGCATGCTCATGTGGGGTGGTGAGAACATAGTAATACCGGTGCCATGGGACGATTCTGCCTTACTCCATTCGACGGGCCTGATTTCGAACGGCTATTCAGAAACTGTCGTGTATTTATTTTTCTTGAGTGTGAAACTATGGTTGTCTTTTACCTTGCATTTCCTTGATGATCTCAGGAACAATCTATTCGAGTCTGGCTGTGCGGTGGAGAGATATATGTTGCTCGCGATTCGAGAGTGGCTCATGTATTAACGGGGGGCATCGGGATACTTGGTCGGGGCGTCTGTCGTTGGCTAGCTTTGTACACTACAGGACATACGTCCCTGAACAGCTTATAGACAACGCGACGAAGTGGAGGGCTGGCGAATTCATATATTGAGTTTATTCCGCTCGGGACCAGTCTATGCTGACTGCCATCTGATTCTGGTGGACAGCAGATGTGAATTCAGTCGGAATGCGATCCGTATTTCATCACAGTACCCTGCGCTTGCGTGTTGATAATAATGCCTCGTCATTCCAGGTTGTCGCTCGTGGATTTGACAGTTTTTCTATCAGGTTTTCCGACCGAGCTTCCCGTACAAAATTGACAACACCCAAGTCTACTATAATAAGATTCGTACTGTCGAGGTTTGGTTCGACGACTACAAGGATTACTTCTATTCAGCGGATCCTTATGCGAGTACTGAGTGCGGGCTCGGGAGCATTCTTCAGCGATTCTGCACTTTGGGTCCAACGAAAACGAACTACTAGCTTTCGCAATACTTTTCGAGGTCATCATAGGAGAATTTAAGGGAGCTCGCACTTACGAATTTGGATTTGCAATTTTAGATAGCACATGAACCCAGATGGATCTTCGTAGAGTGAAGTTTTTATTGGACGACTTGTCAAAACTCGTTAGTTGTGAGCGAGTGAGTATTTTTGCTGTTCAGAGAGTTTGCGACAAAAGGCATTAGCAAATGGGATTGAGGATCGTCTGCAATTTAAGAAGGATATGCAGTGCAAGCCGTTCCAGTATTTCGTGGATAAATTCCACAAGGTAATGTAGGGATAGAACTCCAGTGTTTGTGGTCATTGAAAGTGTCCTTGCACGGGCTTGGTATTGGGGAATGTGGTGGAGGGCAGAAAATGTCTGATCATTGCGTGGAAATTCCTGGTCGATATTATGCTCATTTATTGATAATTTTGCGAGAACTGTATAGAAAAACAAGTGGGAGGAACGGCATCCACGTAGATAGAGACAGTACTATGCTCCCTGCTTATCAGCAGCTTAACCGAGACTGCTAATGTTAGTTCGTTATTGAACTCGACTATGCATGTGCTGTGTAGGTCTTCGAGATGAAGGGCATGCTGCCATCTGAAGCGTATCTTATCAAGGACGAGAAGTCTGGCTTATGTGTATCATCCGGCGGTCGTGATGGAGATAAGATGGTCTTGAGGACATGTGACGACAAGGATCAGTAATGAAGAGGACTAAATGAGCTTCGCTCCGCTCACACTATTTGGCAGTTCATGTCATTGATGCGATTCTCAGGAAGCAACGGTGGAATGACAATCCGGGGAGTGCTATTCGGAACCAAGAAACGGAGATGTGTATTGACGCTAATGCTGGCGAGCCGGAAAAACAAGGGATGGCGTTGATAACGTAGTGATCCTCTGAGACCTCTGAGTTGTCCAGGGAGTGGTATGGGGTGCAATGTAGGGGGACCTCTCAGGTATTACTGTATGATGAAGAATAAGAACCAGGACTTCAAAGTTGCAGATGGAATGGTAGGAAATTCCTGCTGGTGGTCAGATAAAAGTGGCATTGCTCCAGATACAATGGCAAGGCTGGTGTGCAGTAGCGGAGCCTGTTGTTGGAGCCACGCTGACATTGACGACATGCTCCTCGGGGTTCCTTCGAAGTGAGTCGGCTTGGGCGTGCAGTGGGTGGAGAGCTTCTAATCTCATCAATATTTATATGACTTTTGTGAGAGACATTTTCGTCTAACAATATGTAATGGACGGAAATTTGGTACTTCGACAAAATGCAGAGAACTTCGGCGATGATGCTGTAGTTCAGACAAATTAGTACGGTGGGAAGTGTCAGGAATAATTCAGTGTCTAGCAGTTCCTACTCTCGCATGCTATTGTGATGTAGTTCTGTACTTTGAGTTTTTCAGGTCGAGAAAACAATTTCGTGATCGTCGACAAAAAGAAGATGGAGGCGAGGAAAGGGGACCGGTCGTGACTTGCTTACGTCGCCTAGTACTTGTTGGCGATACCACTGGGGATGTGCAACTGTGAAACAACTATCATTACCGTTGAGACTAGTTTTATACCGTTGGAGCTATGCGTTGAATGTGCTGTAAATCGGCTCATGGGAGTCCACTTTGTGATTTAGTTTTCATCTTCTATGGACAATCCGAGGACAGAGAAAGCTGCTGATGCAGGTGATTGCTGCCGATGACGACGGTTAAAGTGGAGTATGTTCTTTAGTGTTTCAGTGGTGGGCTCGTTAGGTGGCCAGCTGGGCGCCCTGCAATCGCACTTGCTCAGAAACCCTGATGTATGAGTATGTCTTGATCTGGTTGGTAGGATAGTGTTCACGAAGGTGCTGGGCCAAATGCTGAATGCACCGGTGATGCAGACGATGTTGCACAATCCGGACATGCTGAGGAGCTTGGCAATGCATAGCTGTATTGCATGGCGTAGGGCATCATCGTTATTGCAGATCTCCATGAACCGACAAATGAGGGGTCTAATGGATGAGAATCCGGAACTGGAGAGGATGATTTTTGTAGTTGTCTTTTTTCAGACTTTTTAGCGAGCGAAACTGGTCCAGTTTAGGATCCAAAAATATTGAAGACATCTACAGATGCATTCCAAGATCCGTCGGCTGTACGCGAGCTGATCAGCAACATGGAGACTGCTGTGGCTAACGTCAATGAAACCGTCACAGGAGGATATCAGAGTCTACGAGATCTGCACCGGGAGCTCCTCAGTGGTGATAAATGCCGCGAAAATTGTCTGAGTCTTCGGCTGGTATTTTCAGGCGATGAGGTACCGCCCCAGATCAGGAGAGCAAGGTGATAATGTAAAGCAGGTTTGCTGTTTTAGCAATTGGAATCGTTTATGTAGCCGTTGGTCCTTTGGCAATCACTCATGCTTCAGAGAGGCAAGCGGCCAGCTCGGAAAGTCCAGCAAGTTATCTAAGTCGCCAGAGTGGGCCGAGACGTTCGATCCGTCGGCAATGGCCGCTATGATGCAGGTAACGATGATTCTATTCATGCTAGGACTTGTATGTAGTATGTTGTAACATTTACTAACTTGACTTTAGTACAGAAATGCTTTTCTGGGTAAGTTCTGAGGGTGACCATCGTGTTCGCAGGATCCCGACATGCATCAGTTGATGGCTTCAGTCTTTCGAGGTATGGAGAACGCTCATAAGTTCGGGGCTGGTACTAATGATGAGGGTAGTAGTTATTCAGCTCATTCACGATGGAGTGACAAAGTTGATCAGTGATATTAGTCAGCAGGAATGGTGAATCTGCACAAGAGCTGTATGCAGTCTTGCAGGTAGTAGCGATACGTCGCTAAAGCCATTCTGTGAAGTCAGCTTACTCAAGCACATGTTCGATTCGCAGACATTGCAGGTGTCGCTGGTACTGCTCTCCGCTGCATGGTAGTCTTCGTCGTTTCAGAGTATGTCTAGATTGGAGGAGTGCATAGAGTTGCTTGTGGGAAAGCACAACCCTGTCGTGGGTAGTAGGGACCGTCCTGATGACGCTTGTCGGTGAGATTTCTGTTTCAGGAGCAATGACGGAGAAAACGGAGAAGATTGGGCCGAAGCTCAGTGGTCTTTCGCTGGGATCGCCAGCAGCGAACTTCTCCCAAGTGAGTCGAATGATACATTTTGTGAGAGAACGCTCGTTGGTTCTCCCCGCGTCGTGCGCAGTTCTTGGCCCGCTCCTGAACTAGCTCCTGTAACGGCTCTTCATGAGCTATAATAGCTGTTGAAATGGGTTCTGCTCCGTCAGCATGCGTCGAACAGAAACCTACTATACTGACATGCACTGGTCGCTTTTTCAGTCATTTGCGAGCTTTATAGAGGCTCAGTGTGGAAATCCCGAGGTTTTGTACAGAGTTCAGCTGATTGCATTGGAACGCGCGGGATTTAACGACGTCGACAAGAATGTTGCGGCTCTTAAGAGGGGTACGGTGGTTCTATTGAGTATATGGCTTCCCGATGTATCGTGTCAGCTGATGGTAACGTGAATCGAGCGATCGACTTGCTCATATCACATGTCAGTGATCCCAGTGTGGGACTCAACCATGAGGAAGATTGTTGATATTTTTCTGAAGGCGCACGTTGAGTTCAGTCGGGCTGGTATACTCTAACTCTACGAGATACCGTATAGCTTTCGGAAATCTGGTTGGTGGGCAGAAGATGTTTTTTGGAGGTACAAAGACGCTCATAGGCGGAATGGTACCATGTTGAAGGGAATAGACACGCTCACTTCTTGAAGCTGCATAGGTCATGATTACGTGCGAGTTCCTGTCGAGGCCTCTAATAGGAGGCTACAGTCTCAGCGTCGTCCTCGGGTGATGGTCGTCGTTTAGGCGACACATATAGGGATATCCTTGCTAGGTAGTTTTGTGTGGGGACAGTACCAATGGCTGCAACTACTCCGGCAAGAAGTCTCCGAGGAGTACCGCCCTCGATGATTGCATACCTGGGTGAGGAAGAGGCCGCGAGAGTTGCCAACGCTCGACTGTTGGTGGTCGGAGCTGGTGGCATAGGGTGTGAGCTGCTGAAGGATCTCAGCATGATGGGGGTATATCAATAAGGAACTGAGTCCACTTTGGTACGCTCCGTTGAGTAGGTCCGGAACGTGACTACCATCGACCTGGATACAATTGACGTTTCCAATCTCAATCGGCAATTCTTGTTTCGGCGGCATCATGTGAATCGACCGAAGGCCGAAGTCGCCTCGGAGGCCGCCATGGCCTTCAACAAGGAGGTAAGGACGCGTAGTTTTCAGAGTCTGTTGTTCCTGAATGCTAGTGAAAGGGTCCTCCTCCCTTATGCCTCAGGTGAAAATTGATGGGAAGTTGGGAAACGTGAAGGATCCGCAATATTCGTCGACATTCTTCTCCTCTTTCGACGTGGTTCTCAATGCTCTCGATAACGTGAATGCGAGGCGCCACGTTAATCGCCTTTGTTTGGCGACTAAGCGGCCGCTTATTGAGGCTGGTAGTATGAAGGTGCCTATCACTTCCCTATAGAAAAGCAGTGGACGGGAAAATGAAAAATCCGAAGCTTACTGTGCCTGTAGTTAATCCTCCATGTTAGGGACAACTGGATTCACTGGACAGTGTACGGTCATATATCCGCAGCAGAGTGAATGCTATGAGTGTAAGTCTCGGGGGAGATCATTTGGGCACTCGAGCATAGGAAGGCTGGTTGTAGGGGTTTGTTCCATACTTGAAACTTGCGTGAGGAAATTTCAGCATGATCGAATTGATCAGATCTACTACATGTAAGGTGTCTTCTCATAATCAGCGAAGGAACCGCTGAGTGAAGCGAACATATATTTCATCACTCCTTGAAACTGTATCCGGCTCTTCAGTGTTATTCAAGTGGGCCTCAGCAGTATATGGCGTCTATCGTTTAGGCACGAGCAAGGCTGCGCCGAAGGTTTACCCGGTATGTACTATTCGGTCGACACCCTCTACCCCCGTGCATTGCATACAATGGGCGAAATTACTGTAGGGACTTTTCAGGAGTGTGAGGTGATTAATGATTGTTATTGGCTAGGTTCGAACTCATGTTTGGCATTGAGGATGACAACAGTGTGTTGGCCGATCTGAAGGAACCTCTCAATAGACTACGCTCTTCAGGTAGGTGTTGGAGCCTGCCACTGCCTCGTCAACAGAGAACATGGCTTTCGTCTCTCTGTAGTTACAACCTCGCTTTGTGTTCACCACTTTTCTCTGTAACCTTATAATGGGTTATTGTATATAGATATCGTAGCTTTTGGTTATAGCATATATCAGTACTATTGAATATTGGAGTTTCACCTGTTTCACGTGAAGTAGCGTAGAACTCGGTGAAAAACGCGATATTCGCGCTATGCAGTAGTCGTGAAATATGTTTCTCATATCACGGGTGAAACTCCATTATTAATATTTCTCATAAAGTTTGCAACGATGAATGACTAAGTGTTCGTCTCGTCAGATGATGACGCGTCGGTGAAGGCGGATGAGATACGACGAGAAGCTGTGGCTATCTTTGATCATCTCTTCTGCAATGACATCAGGTAAAGGCTTCAGGCTCGATGAGTTTCACTCGACTGTTGTAGGTCTCAGCTGGAATTGACCAACCTCTGGGCTGACGGCAAGCGGCAGGCTCCGATACCAGTGAGCTTCAACGAGGCGGTGGCGACAGGATCTGAGGAGGAGAAGGATGTTAGTGATGGACACTTGGATTCATGTGGACGTGTACAGTAATAGGTACAAGTGGTGTGGTCGGTGGCGAAGCAGGCGAGATTGTTTGTGGACACGGTGAGTCGTATATTCTCTAGCAGAAGGGACGAGATCGGTAATAATAGGCGGTAGAAGGGTCTGTAGGAATCGCAGGGGTTCTGTGTATGCCGCGCTCTCCGCTAGAACAGAGCAGTGTAGAGCATCCCGATCTGAACATGTTTTTGATGGACTCATGTGCATAGTAGGAAAGAGCGATATATCATAGTAACATTGCATCTTTCCACTGCGAAAGCAACGCTCTTATTTGTGCGGGCGTGATCGTGAGGGAAGAAGAGGACATCGTGACTGGACGATTTACCATGGGGGTTCCGGGGATGAAGACGCCTATACGAAAAACACCAGCTCTTTCTCTGTCTTGAAATGAAGTTCCTGCTCGCCCGTTCTCCGCGATGGCCCCTCATGCTGATGTTTATTGGTGTATCATTTTCGATCGCCTCCACCTGCTGTCGTGACAGGTACCATGGCGTTTAGCAAGGACGACAAGATGGCCGTCGACTTTGTTTGTGCTGCATCGAATATGAGAATGCACAACTACCACATACCGCTGCAAAGCCGGTGGTCAGTCGAGTCTATTGCTGGCGCGATTGTAGGCGATTTGATAGCACCTTTACTTGCCATATGAGGGTCGATTCAGGTTCCTGCGGTTGCTACCACGAACTGTATTGTTGCCGGTTTGCAGTGTACCAATCTCCTTGCGATTTTGCGAGAGATTCTTCGGTGCGAGCAAGATCGCAGCAGAAAGTTCAGCCTGAGGGCATCAGGAGCGACCAACGTGTGGATCAAGTGAGGCCTCCTATGCTGGCCGAGACAAGCGAGATTTCAGATACCCAGATCCTGCTGGGAAGAACATCCTTGTTCCTGACGCGTTCTTGCCGCCTAACCCGGATTGTTACGTCTGTCAAAGCTCCTGGGTGACGGTAACCCTAAACGACTTGGGGTGAGTTATTTACTACCAGCGTGTTTGCGGTAGTGACGAGATGCCTCTCAGAAAGTGGACTGTGCAGGACTTCGTGACGAAGGTGCTGAAGAAGCAGCTTGGTGCATCAGCGCCGTTTTTGGTCTTCCAAGGTGGCTAACGGGACGGGTGCCTCGGCTGAGATCTCTCATGCGATCAGGTAACGTGATTTATGAGGTTACTACGGATGAGGATGAGGATGATGAAGATGAAGGTCTGCATCCGGAATGGTCGCTGAAGCAGTGGGATATCGTGAGTTTCGATTCGCTGATTTTTCCATCAGAAGCGTTGTTTAGGAGCCTGGAAGTCTCATTGACGCCACTGACGATATGCAGTCATGGAGTACTCAGATTGTGCTACTCGAGGATCCCAGGTAGATTCGATCGGTCTTGTTGGCCTATCAGCTGTGCGCTCTTAGTATGAGTGAGGAAGACCATCCGGAGCTGTTCACTATCTCCCGCGGACAACAACAGGCTGCTTCTCCAACTGAGTGAGTCGGGCTCATATTGCAATATTGCTCATATTGCTCGGAAGGCGCTCGATTGGATTAGCATATCAGTTCTTGCGGTGGGCAAATTGTCGCAGTGTGTAGGAAACGAGCCTTGGACGATGGTACTGTGGAAGAGTTGCCCAAGCGCAGGAAGCTGAACGATGAGGAGACTATCATTCACAACGGTCACTGAGATCCTGTCAGGTTGCTGAAGTTTCTATCGGGGATGAACTGATCTGAGTTGGAATGTCAATAACTGATGGGTGTTGTGTGAGAGACGAGGTTTGATTTCGAGCTTTCCCCGGCCCGACAGCTCGCGAGTTCGCTACTATAGTTTGTTGCTTGTCGGCTGTTGTGCCGGACTTACCGTCTAAATGACAACATTGAATAAACTCGGCATTCAGGGTATCAGATCGTTCTCATCGGAAAGGATCGAAGCTATCGAATTTGAGAAGCCTGTCACGCTCATTGTGGGCCACAACGGAGCAGGTACTAGGGCACGCAGAAGTCTCACATCGCATGGTGTCCGACACGTCGAAATGGTCAATCATCATGCGAACTAAATTTAAACTCAAACATCACTTTTCAAGGACATACCACTCCTTCCACAAATAGTACGACAAGTTATATTGCTGTCTGTCAACCAAAATACACCTTGGTTGTCGTCGTGGATCGTCTCTGAGAGGCTCAGGGGATATCTTATAGTGGCAACCGCGTAAACCGATCATAGAGAGCATTTCTATTGCACCCAATTCCATCTGGACTCCTCAGGGAAGACGACGGTCATCGAGTGCCTCAAGATGGCTACCACAGGAGTGCTGCCACCTAACTGCGATAAGGGACACGGGTACAATCACCCTATGTCGTGAAAGGATTCGAGTCCTCCATTGTAGGTTTGTCTTCGACCCGAATGTTGCCGGAGTGCCAGAAGTGAAGGGGCAGATCAAGCTCATGTTCCGCTCTGCTGCAGCGAAGCAGGTATGAGGCTGTTATTCATTGTAGAGGATGGTGTCTTACGTAGGTGGTCATGTCCAGGATATTCCAGCTGACGAATCAACGCAACCGAGCTGGCGTATTGAAGACGACGTTCAAGCAGTTAGAAAGCCTCATCAAGTGAGCGTAGTCATTAGGTCAATCCACATCGAGATCAGCAACACTGGGCACTTTCATTCTAATGCGAAGCGCGGACGGATAAGTCTATCTGCGAACTTATTTTGTATGTGTTGTTAGGGTTGAAAGTCAGCAGGACGTTTCAACCATATCGTCGAACTCCCTAATAGGGAGTCTCTATTAAAGGA